GCCCCGCCTCGGCGTGAGGTGCCTGCAGGTTACGGTCGGGGGCATCCCGCCTCGGCGTGAGGTGCCTGCAGGTTACGGTCGGGAATTCACGGCCTCAGTGTGAGGTGCCTGCAGGTTACGGTTGGGATGCCCGAGCTCCAGGCTCTCTCCCTCTGGCATATCTGCAAAATGGTTAGAATTAATCCCATTGCTTGCAGAGGAATTGTATCACCATTGGGCCCTTGAACAAACCCAGCTGCTTCAGGAATGCTGGATGCTGATTGACCCTACACTGTGACTCCAAAATTTTCTCTCTCCTATATATATACAAATGTGTTTCTGTTTCTTTCATGGAGAACAAAGATGGGATATGCAAAAACCCTATTTCCTCATGGGGGTGAATAAATCGTTGTTACCACTGTTCATACAATTGAATATTTTCTGAAGCTGCTTTGGCGGAAGCTTGGCTCCAGAGACCCTGCAGCTTTTGGTTTAAATCCTAAATTCAGCTGCCAAGAGCTAGAGCAGGTGTCACAGCAGACAGAGACCACCAGCAGTTTGTATTTTCTCATCATACAGGGGCTCTCTGCTGAGAATTATATATTAATACGGTCCCCAACCCTAGACTGGGGATCGTAACAGCTGTAATTGCAGGCTGAAACCATGTGTTAATTTTCCTATTTGTGGAATAGAAATCTTCTGGAAAAGCACGTCAGTATGCAACCAGGATGTTCCGCTGCATCATCTGGAATGCAGTCTGACATGCTCTTCAAGGTTTCCCAGTATTGATTTCCGAAGCAGTTTTGCAGCAGCCTTTTGTGTGTGTGTGTAAAAACTCTGTGCCAACTTTTGATTGGACATGCCATGTGCATGTGTGAAGGCCACCTAGTATTTACTCTAGTTGTATGTGCACTGCTTTTTCAGTAACATAGTGACTCTGACTATGTGGCTCAGGGATAAGTCCTTTGTAGGTGCGTGAGGGACAATGGCTACATAAAGCCATGGTGTCAGAGGTAATCTCATTTCTGGCTGAGAGCTTAGCCAAGCAGACTCGCTTGGTTGGGAGGATTGCATCAGCTGGGTAATGGGTACATTAAAGGGCTTAATGCAAGTCTAATGACTTGGCCAGAGAAGCTGTCTGTTAGACCCTGGCATATATTGCACTGGTAAAAGTATTCTGGGGCTCATTGTTTTTGCTGCACCCCCTGTCTGGACTGGCTCACTATCTTCTCAAACCTATCCTGAGACCTACTGTCCTGAAAAAGGGGAAGTTCTCACCTTACATTTTTGTTCAGGTCACACTCATTGTTTAAATGAGGGTGTAAAATATGTCATACTCATATCTACAGTAACGTGGGAATGTCATTGATTTCTGGTGATGTAGCACTGGAACAGTTATTGATTTTTGGAAAGTAAAAGTTTAAATTTGCGTTTTCATGTTTTGTTACTGTATGTTTTGCCCTCTTTTTTAATGTATAGAACCTTAAGAGAAATGTAAATATGCATGTAACATGTCTTGTGTTTGACACTGCATATTAATTAAAAGGGTTCTAGATGACAGTTTGTGGTGGTTTGCATAGTTATTTTAAGTTTGTCTCATTTTTGTACTATTATAATCTGCAGTATCCACAGCAAAATCACCTTCTGAGTGAGTGTGGAGCAGTGACCACGAAAAGCGCAAGTTTATCTCTCAGGTGTCATTCTGCGTCATTGAGCCATAAGAGTAACTTCTGCCTCTATAGTTTTATGCGTGGGAAAACTTTTGTCAAATGGTTTTTGCTTGTTCAGGAGAAATCAGTCTTTGAAATTACAGCCAGCATAAATGCAGACAGTCCATCAGCAGTGTTTCAGCGTGGATCCATATTAGCTGTGCTGTGATCTGGTCTAGCCACAGTCTGCCATTTTAAGCATTCATCAGTGTGAAGGTACTGTAGTACATGCAGTGACTATTGAACATGCACAGTGGGCTGGGGATTATAGTGGTAACATTAAAACCCTGCATGGTGATGGTGAGACTGTCAGACTGGTCATTTATCTTTGGGTGAGAACATGTTAAACTAATGAAGAAGCGAACATGCAGGGCCTTTAGATAGGGACACTTGTTGCAGTCTGCTTTAATTGCATGTAAGTCTGCTGCTCTGCTTGAGCTTTCTGCCGCCTGCACCTGTGCTGTTTAATTAAGTGTGACATGAGCGGTTCCAGCCCTGACCACCAGCCTGAGCGTCACCATAGGCGACTGCCTCTGAGGTGGGGGTGTGAAGGGGGCGGTGCCTTGTGGAGAACTGGGTGCCATGTGGGGCACGGTGTGGCAGCCGGTAGGGCAGGCAGGCTCTCTGCAGTGCCGGTGGTGCTGTGGCAGCCTGCAGACATTACCAGTGGCTCACTTCACTACCTCCAAGGCCACTGCTTTACACACATACACTGTCCTGCTCTCTGCTCTCCCACTGGCTGGTTTGTTTCTTCTTTTTGTTGTACTATTTTGTAGCTTGCAGTTTAGTGTGGTAACTTTTTTCAGGCAGTGATGATGATGATGATGGGTGTTGCTCATTATCCACAGTACCTGTCATTAAGGAGCAAAGGTCTCTTTGGATCAATACTTAAGTAAAAAAAAAATTCTATTGTGTTGTGCACATGCAAATTGTTAACATGAACTCTTAATCTGAAGTCACTTTCTCTGTCTCCTTCCCTGGGCTCCACAACCCTCCCCTCCCCTCCTCTCCAGCTGGTGTCTGCTCAGCCAAACGCCTGGTGATGGTGCAGCCTGGCCCACTGGTGCGCACAGAGGGCTCCCACGCCACCATCTGGTGCAATGTGACAGGCTACAGGGGCGCCCTGGTGCAGGACTTTGAGTGGTCCATGTATCTGCCATCAGCACCAGAGCGCGAGATCCGCGTGGTGAGCACCGCCCAGGAGGATTATGCGTATGCTGCTTATGCCACCCGTGTCGCCTCCGGTGATGTCTACGTGGAGCGACTGGCTCCCGACTCCGTCATGCTGCACATTAGCAGGCTGCAGGCCCGCGACCAGGGCCTGTTTGAGTGCTACACGCCCAACACTGATGGGGAGTTCCTGGGCTCCTACAGTGCTAGGACAAACCTCACAGGTGAGTGTATCTCAACTCTCTTATGCTGTATCTCCCTGGTTTACAGACTCTTCCCTGAGTCTCAGCTGACTTTCTAACAGACTCAACTGTGAGTCTCAGGAAGATTATCTCTAAATTCATCCTTTGGCTTGACCAGAGCCCATCTGCTAAAGTAACCTTCTCTTCCCTTTATTTCCATACTTGGATCGATGTCCCATCACACCACATATTTGCCATGAGTAAACTGTTACACTGCCCCTAAAAGATATGTAACCTGCTTTGGTCATTCAGTCATGCTTGGCCTGCAGAACCAAGCAGAACCAAACCTGCTCTCTGAAGGTAGAAAGACCCAGAGTCTCTGGATCAGACCTCCCATCTCTTTGAGGTTGCCCTTGTGGCCTTTGCTCATTTGTTAATTCAGTCAGTTGCTGAATGCCAACTCTTTATATTTGTAATGTGTTGCTAGAAAACATCTGATATTCATACCACTTTAGAGGGGTTTTTGTGGCACTGTGAAACACTACTAAATAGTCTGTTGCTGCATGCCTTGGCTAGATTAGAATCTCTGTCTCTCTCACACACACACACAATGACAACCTTAATCCCTACCCAGCCCTAGCCTTAAGCATAACTAATCAAACAAAATACAAGTCTTTTGGTATGTTTAGTTTTTTGATTGCAGTCACCAAGTTTTGGTCAGCAGCAATTCTGCCTGCGGTTCAGACTAGGTAATCCACCTGAAGCTAAGCAGGTTTGGGCCTGGCCAGTATTTGGATGGGAGACCAACTAAGCAAGTTGGGTTGCTGCTGGAAGAGGTGTGGTGTGGCCAACAGGTTAGCCCATCCTGTGGTCTGTGTGGATCCTAGTGCAGTGATGGGGACCCTATGCTGTAAAAATGGTGCTGTCCTTTGGATGCGACGTAAAACTGAGGTCCTGACTCTCTGAGGTCATAAAAGATCATTGGAAAGAGTAAGGGTGGTACCCCTATGTACTGCCTAAAATTGCCCACTATGGCCCTATAAGATCTGGTTTCCTAATCATCCCCTGTATCTAATTGATGAATCCTCTCCTGCCCCTTCCCCACTGTACGGTGAATGTAGTGGTGCAGAATGGCTGCCTTTGCACCATTCTGGTGGGTGCTACACGGTGATGGTCGCAGTGGTTCACCAATGCTTCTGTAAAGTGCTTTGGGTATCTTGAAAAGTGCTGTATAAATGTAATATTCATTCATTCTTATAACATTGAATTTCCCCTTGTGGGGACTGGAAAAATGTTCCCCACAATGCACACACAGAAGTCATGAATACTCTATTTATTAAAAAGCATTAATTTAAGAGTCATTTAAGAATGATTTAATAGCCTTACTTGTATGGATGCACTTCACATTAAAAGTGAATGAAAATGTAGTAGTATGTCAGTACTGCAAAGCAAATCTTACATATCACAACGGTATGACTGCTATGCCAATACTTCTTAAAATAATATGTGCAGGTTTGACAGACTCAGCCAATAATGTTAGGTTTGCCATTACACTAATGTTTCCGAGTTTACCAGCAGCAGCCCAGGATGGACAGCCTTGCTTTTGGCTGTTGTATGCAGTTGTATATCTGCAGAAGGTATGAAACTGTGTGACTTTTGGAATGGAAATGTGTATGTATTTGTCCATGTGTGTGCATATCACTGTTTATGGACAGAATAAGAGGCTGTTGTCCTTGCAGAAAGCTGCCTCTGCTTGCAGTAGTTGTAATATGCCATCTCTGTACATGGGAATGTTGCACTACCACGAGGGCAGTGTCACGTTTGCTCTCATTTGGTCTGCACGTTCTCATACTGGGACATACTCTGTCACATTATCCATTTGATAAAAGAAGTTGACATTGCTGCACCCACCCTGGTGTGAGCTATGAGCCCAATGAGATATCATTAATGGCCAGCCGAGACTTTACGGTGTGCTCCACAACCTTTGAACTAGAGGTCGACTGATATATCAGCTGGCCGATATATCGGGCCGATATTTGGCATTTTTTAATGTATCAGCATTGGCCGATATCCGAGTGTAGTACGCCGATTTACAGACAGGCAGTCTACGGGCATCCCAGTGTTATTGTTGCTGTGGAACACGTGATCCATGCTGCCTTGTGCTGGACCCCAGCCAGAAGTTTTGGAAGAGTCCTGGGAGAAAACGGTAAGGCTTAAATTCTGGTCTTTCAAAGACCTATTTATTTAACTGGTTTGCTATGAAATGTTGCTTTAAAAGAAAACGCGAGCGCTTTTGAAAGAGAACCCGAGTTACGCTGTCGGGAACTGGGGTAATGATAATGAGCCTTCAACCAACTGTAGCTTACAGGTAACAGGTAACATTAATGGATCATTGACTCTGACAGAGCTAGTTTTGTGCGCTTGTTGGTGGGCTCAGACGTTTTTTTTAATCGTTAAAAATCATTTTAATTGTTAAAATTTTAATTATTACCATATCAGCCCGATGTTATAAGTTCTGTTTTTTCTGTGTCAGAGAGTTTCACTCAGTGTGTGTGGGGCGGAGCAGGCAGCTCTTTCAAACACTGCAACGTGTGTGAGAGTTGCTTTAGGTCCAATCCCAATTCTATTTTCTACCCCTTTGCCTACCCCTCACCCCTTCCCCTTGCCCCTTGAAATGAAGTGGAAAGGGGTAGGGTTAAAAAATTTCCCCTAAGAAATGGGACACCACTACTACACTGTTATACGTCATCATCCATTGTCACTAC